CTGCGGTCCAGAGTTTTGCAAATATCTCAGCAACGTTGTGGTTGTATCTCAGCATCATTGAAGTTATATTTCGCAATACACCCTGCCATTAGAAAGAGTAGGCGAAAAATAACAAGTTAAAAAAGCTGTTTACTGCTGCAGAACAGTGGGATATGAGGACACTCAGCTGGGATCGGAAAGGTATATGTACTAACGGCAAATCCCTGTCAAATTTTCGTTTTGCTGGTGATGTAGCCATTTTTTTGAAAAGTATAACTATAGCTGGAAAAGGCACTCACCGAGCTCAATTAAGCAGGAAAAATGATAGAACTTATAACTGGGTAGAAAATCCAGTCTATGAAGGAGCCATAGTGCTCAGGTGAACAAATCGAGCCGGATGGTTTTTAGAGCCGACTTTCTATTAACCTCGGCATTGGATTATAAAAAGCTCTTCCAGGCTCTGAAGAAGGAGATACTGCCGAAACGTCAGCTACTGTTGTGTTGTACGTTTTTTGTAGCGAAGTAAACGTATGCTATCACGACCTCGCGATTGCTGAAAAAGACAATGATCCATTTCGAATTCGATGGTTTTTGAATCGCTGAGATTGCTTGGTATGTGCATATCTTGTGTTCATTGAACATCGTGAAGAACATGAACATAGAATTGTATGAAAAAAGGAAACTTTATAGAGAATCGAATGACTATTCATATCCCACCCTACTCACCCTGCCCCCCTCCCACCAAACCTCCGTACTCACCTTTTTGACTCGACTATGGTAGAAATGGTAGAAGGAGAACAGCAAGAGACATTTTGGATTTTTCAGAAAATTGAATGACTATTTACTCCCATCTTAAACTCCACACCCACCTTTTTGATTCGATGGCGCTCCTAGCTCTCTGCCGTGCCTCCGAGCACACATAACGTCCAGCTGGAGTGAGTCGCTTAGTTCTTCGAGATGTATTCCGTTTTCCACATTCAGGAAAAAACCCTTAAATTAGAAACGCAGATGGGCCGATAATAAGAAGAGCTGATGGCAGATAGACGAAAACAACTGCGACGAGTGAAATTCTGGAATACTCAGCCGTTCTCTTCGACAACCGTGCACACAATCGTTACATTTCTAGCTCACATCAACCATCTGAGTCAGCAAAACGAAACAGTTTGTGAAGCCCAGAACGAACTTCGCGGAAGTGCCTATTTTCGAAGTTCATCACGATCACATACAACGAGAGCACGAAAATGGCACAAATGTAGGATGTCCCGCATTCCATGTTACACACGAAGATGAGCTACCCAAGTATTCATAAGTAGGTTGTAGCAATTTCGAAGCATAAACGATGGGAAGCCATAGTTTTCGTAAAGCGCGGGAGCGATTGATTCAGTGACACCCTGCGTACTGCAAGACACTTCTAACTAATGAACCTATTTTCATCCTTATAGGAAAGGTGGATTGAAGGCTTGAGTTGAGGAAAGAACTTGGCCTTGTGGTAGACTTAAATGGTTAACGAGCAGGTCCATGATGAGATAATGTTTAATGGTAGTGTCTCTTTCAACGTTATCATTAACAGGTCAATTGCTTAGTGAGTCTTTTTTATCATGTTTTAGAACCTCGCTTCACTACTTGGCTTACGCAGTAACTAGCTTCGAGAGAAAGTTGAACAACAACAAAGAAAGTCCTTATGTTTTACTATAAAGAAAGAGCAGTTCCACAGCGCAAAGTGAATACCGTAGTATTGGCTCGGAGTCCATCCTAAGAGCCCTACCTTATCAACAATACGAAAGCCGGTCGGAGGAATGTGAAAAGCGCTGCAGAACAGGAAGCATTCTCGATGACATGTTGCGCATGTGTTGTTTTCTTCCAGCTTCGGTAGCATCGTACGAAAGCTCAGGTCCGATCACTTTTTACCAACTACGTCAGCTTCTGATAGTATAGACGAGAAAGCCCAGTGTGCATGATGCAGAGACTGGTTTATTTCTGATGGGGAAAGAATTTGCTCCAGCACAGTCTCAATATTTCTTTTCTCGAGCGGCTATTTGTAGCCCTGGTTTATTCCCAGCTGAGCTTCCAAAAGGAAATGAAGAGCTTCTTCTCAGTTTGGGAGATCCAACTTATGTAGGACTGGTGAACACTTAATGTGCACCAAAATTTAGCAATTTTGAACATCACTAATGAACAATGAGGTCACAATTTAAAAGGTGTTAGCATAGCATGTTATAACCCATTCTAAGAATGGAGATATTGCATATCCGAATGTTCAATAGAGCACCCACGTCGCAGTCATTTCATTCCTAAGCTCTCTCAGTACGATCAGATCGATCATTTAATGCAGGCTTTAAATTACTTAGAAACGGATTTTTGCTATCAGGATAGCAGGAAAAGTGGGATTCCAGGAAACAAGAAAACGTCAACGAGTCAAGAACTGTCTCCTGGAAGTTCCTGTACTATATTTACATCTCTGTGGCCTGACTTTAAATACTGTGCGGATCGTAGCACTTCCTTTATTTAGTTTTTTCTCCGTATTCGCCTTCCACGACGGTCATTAGATTTTTCTATGCGTTCAGCTGTCAATGAAGTCTACATGTTCGTATCTGCGACCATGTTTGCATTGCACAACATCTCTAACCACTAAGCTTCTGACGCCTCACTGAACTAGAAGCGATATAGAGCATTCAATTTCATTAATTAGAAAGTATTTTTTATGTGCAGACAACATCTTAAACGTCATGCTTCTCGGAATACTGTAGCTTCCAGAAAGTAAAATCATTTGATAGCTTAGCTACAGAATCTCGACTAGACCTATCTTTTATTGATAATTATTTAGCGGATTGTCGAGGACTATTTAAGCACATTCCTAACAAAGCTGATATTTTGGGAGCTTACAGTAATTTCTCAGTTAATGGAGAAAGTTGTAGTTAACAATGTGACACATATACAGAAGAAGCTTTCGTTTGTTGCTCTAAAGTCATGTATAATCTTCCCAAATCGTTGCTTTGACCTTGAGTTCTATTTAAAGCTAAAATCCTTCGAAAAATAGAAAACGCCTAAAATTTAAAATATTGCAAACAAATAAGGCAACCGCAGGTACCGACTATAAAATAGGAAACACCCTTATCGATATGCTGCTGGTTCTGTTCCTATCTTGTTCGAATTGCTGGTCTTGACGCTGAAGAATGAAACAAAAATAGGTTTCGTGGCTCTCTGATGGTCAAATATCATTTTTCCGAAATAAGGTAGCATTTGCCTTGTGGGCGGAGATCCGTGCCCTGTAATAATCTGCAATTTCTGTAATACTAGGATCCCCCACCTTCTTCGTATGAAATTAGTCGCATGGTGGCAAACCTCCCTCTGATCCACAAAGGTTGGCACTGTTTGTGGTGGCGACGACCGGGAGCAGACTTTGGCTAGACTGACCTCGGGACTCCAGGGCAAACACAATGGCTTAAGCAGCAAATCTCCGAAGAAGTGGAGATTACGCTGGAGTCCGCGCGACTAGTGAGGACGGGCCATCCAAGTATCCTAATAAGTAAATGATAATCTTTATTTCAACCAATAAAGTTTTATATAAGCTGATATATGTTGCTCTGAACTTTAATGCGGTCATTATTTTTCTTCCAAATGCGCATCGTCAAGAATTTGTTAACAGTCTGCCGCTCTGGCTGCGTATTTAAACTTCGGTTCTATAATGTCACCGCTTATGGAGTGAATCAGCAGATATTCGATATCAGTTCTTATATAACAAAAACTCTCAAACGTTCTAAAAGGCTTGCTATTGGATATCAAAACTAATTTTAGGTTTTTCAGAGGACGATCGTCGCCATCATCATCAATAGACACCGCCGAAGACGACTACTACTTCCATGAGATATCCCACCCCTCTCCATTCTGTTCGACACCCATTGCGATGTTGATGGAATGACGGAATTCACATGGGCTGTCGGCATTCTCCTATTCCTATTTTGCTTCAGGTGTTATCATAGTGAGCAGTAGCGGTTCTCCCTGTACCCTCCAAACGTTTGCTGACCGTCAAGAAGGATAGAAATACCGTTTTTTTGACCACTCATACGCTTGAAGTGTTTGTTTGTTGGAAATCATCTAAAAGTGCTTTGCTTCCTTTGAGTGATCACATGGTGGCCTAAGATAAATTTATGACTCTTTTTATGTAATGATAAATGTGATAAATGTGGCAAGCGATCACACTTATTAGTCTAAATATTCACATGAAGGGTCATTGACTGCAATACAGATGCTTCTCTTTCGTCACGTTGTTGACGACTTGTCTCAATTTTGTGGTGGTATTGTCTTACGAGCAACAAAAACAAAGCCGAACGTCCATTCAAATTCGCCTCTACCCTGAATAAGATTTACTGAAGTGTATTCGGCACAATGATATTGTTTTTGCTCTATTGAAATCAAAATACATCAACTGTTGTAAACTACGTAAAAAGTTTAGATTGTACCAGTGCACATCTCCAGGAGTTCATAATCCATCTATCCCTTTCAGTACACGAAAAACGCACATAAACATGTGTTTCCTCAAGAAGATGCGTGCACATCCATACATGTACACACAGATACACATCCATGCGAACCCACATGCACAAATAAAGGATGAAGGATAAAGCTCTAGGCGTTGATCAATCCCTGAGGGATGCGCCATGCATTCAGCTTCGTTAAGTGTCGTCGGAGGTAATTGAATGCATATCTGGCCTTTACAATGACTTGCGGTGGCCTGCCGATGTATCGAGCCAGTGCTGCTATCCTCCCAGACAAGTCTGGTACCAATTTGCCGATACCGAGGATGGAAGGCTTAGTGGGACGCCATGGACGCGGGGATCGATTCCACGTGTGTGTCACAGTGGCGCCTCTAACCACTGTGCCACACTCACTCCGTTCCTACATAACCTAAGGCCAATTGATGCATTCATAAATACATAGTAAATACTGATATAATGACGGAAACTTGATAAAACACAATATCCGGAAATCTCAATGACTCCACCACCAGTTCTTTGCTTTACCTAAGGACAGTTGATCTTCACAGAACATCGCAACCGCTGTGTCTGTTCGCCGTTCACTCCGAAATAGATGACGTCCACAAAATATTGCTTTGTGTTTCGAAAGCGTTCCGACAACTGTCGTTCCGTGGGGCTTAGGCGAGTGCACAGCGCGAAGTTGTTCCTCAGACGGACGACGGCCGCCGTGTACGATTGCGTCGTCACCGTGGCGTCGTCGTTATCGCATTCTACGGGCGACGTGTTCACTATCAAATAATTGTTCCCTTCCATCTCTTTGATTGTGTGATTCGACATGTACACATTGCACAATCCTCTCCGAAAATACACGCGAATATGGCTGATAGTTTGGTCTCCCACATTCGTACATTCGGCAACACATCAACCTCGGATTTTTTCGCCCACTCCTGTTGGCAAAAGCCATCAGCTGTGCTCCCAATAAGCTTTCACTTTCTCTACATTTCATTAGTTTTTACTCCATCGCCGTTTTCTTTTCAGTTTAACCTTTGGTCTTCAGACTTCTCTTGATCTTTCATTTTGCGTCGTTTTATATTTTCTATAAATGATAAGGAGTCAGTCATATAACCTCTAAAACAGGACAGTTACTGTAGCGGTTCATTGAAGAGACCGAATCTTCCACAGAATTCCAACCATTAGTCGCATGAAAAGACAGAAATGAGAAAAATCTTAAGCACCTTCAGGTTGGCTGAAGATTTCCTGCTGTTCTTATTCTTATAATTATCGCAAGGCTTGCATCCTTGAGCAAAAAAAAGAGGTTATATTGTAGAGCATCTTAACAAGAAGTTGTTCAAAAGTACAATGTGGTATTTTGAAAGAGCTGAAGCACCTGTGGGCAGGTTGTACACCGGAATGTTGTCCTGATTGTTGTGATGTCGGCCAGGCATTTAGCGTGCTCATTAAATTGTCTGTTGTTCTCCCTCCTTCCTCATGATCATGCTTTATTTTCGGAGCAAATCGTAATCTCGGAAATATATCATACAAGTTTTTATTCCAGATCTCTCGTGATTCCTTACTGAAATTGTTGGTGGATCGTAGTTCAAAGTCTTCTTCATATTTTCAGCTCAGTATTTCTCACTGTTGCAAAGATATGTCTATGTTGTCCCAGAGAAAACTGCATATTGTCCAAATTTTCTGGAGAACCTTTTAGTTCTAAATGTCTTTTTTCAAAACTTTAGATTTCTGTGAAAGATCTGTGGATTCTTGCAGTTCTCACCAGCGAATTGTATTAAATATTCTCGGTCCAAGTAAAAAATTCATCGGAAGCGACAAATTATACCCTCAGAACAGAAGTTCCCTCTATTCCAGTCCAATGAATATCAAAGGTACCTATGTTCACAGTTCCTTCGAATACACAATGAGGGGCGTATTGATTCTTGAAGATTCTCAGGTGACTACAAGTTTAGCTGAAAGGGTGGGAGTCGACCTTTTTTACTTGGATCGAGATGACGTACAGTTTTGCATCACCATTTATTCAACTTCCACGGTGTAGATTGTGGTTAACATGGCCGAGTGTTGTCTTGCAACAGAATCTGTCGCTTTTGATTGATCGGCAGACATCTCTGATCTTGTTGCACTTTGTCGATTTTCTGCCTATGATTCCTATGCTGGTTGATTGTCAATTGTTTCGTCCGGATTGGAAAGACTATGGTGATTACATCTACCTTGTCAGTGCGAAAAAGTCGTCAAAATCCTGGCCTGGTGCTGCTTTTGCTTCATTAAGCGTGCTTGTTTCATCTCATTGTAGCCATGGCGTTGTTAGACGTCGTCGCATGTCACGCAGAATTTATTTTAACATTTCAATGTATTCATAAGCCTACACAAGGTTTTCAAATGAAAGCTCTTTACTGTGACTAAAGTTTCGACACGTTCTTCTCCTTCGGAACTGCTATGACTCGTATGAGTCCTTCGCACGAGTCCTTCGCACTCGCATCAAGTCGAATAGTTAACAGTAGCTGGTATTAAGATCCAATTCAATTCGTTGCCTCCTTGAGGAAGAGGAAGATGACGAAACTTTAGCCATAACAGGGCTCTTCTTTCTCTTGTTCTTTTTTGAGAGGCTCGCATAGCTCATGAATACAACAATGTATTGGTTATTCTGGATCACATTCAAACCCTACTACAGCATAAGTAGGATTCCATTTCGCATGTCCTTTCCAAATGTCTTCTTATCGCTGCATCTGACCTTGATTTCTTTCCCTTTTTCAATTCAACGACTAAAATATCTTTCTGCTGACCATAGCTACACTAAAATGTGCTCCACGGCATTTCAATTCGGTGTCACAGGGTGGATACACTGTGTTACTGTACTTTAAAGTCTTGCAAAAAAGGTTTGCCCTCGTAACAGAACTGTTGCTTCTTCTCTACATTTCGCATGATATTGGTTATTCATACCGCTACGTGATAGTCGGGAATGAAAGTAGGTTTTCAAAAGTTCATTTTTATATTTATTTATGTGATCTTATAAACTGATCTTCTTAAGCTGACGCGAGGTTCCGCACATAACATCACGGCTCTGAGGAAGGCGAAGTCGCCGAAACGTCAACCATCGTTCAATAACATCAAAAACAACGACAACGACAACGACAACGAAGATCTGTACCAACCTCGCGTCATCTTAAGAAGATCAGTTTATAAGATCACATAAATAAATATATCAACTATCTATGCCGAGGTTCATAGAAAGTCGGTCTTTCGAGTTTACTTTTAGTGGTATCGTTATCATTATGCAAGGGCGCATGTGGCGCAGTGGTTGGAGGCGCCACTGCCACACATATGGAATCGATCCCCGCGCACGTGGTTCACCGAACCTTCCATCTCTTCGGCATCGGCAAATCGCTACCAGACTTGTCTGAGAGGATAGCAGCGCTGGCTCGATACGGTAGGCCACCGCGAGTCATTGCAAAGGCCAGATATGCATTCAATCACGTCCAAGGATAATTAGTGAAGTCGAATGCATGGTGCATTCCTCAAGGATTGATCAACTCCGAGAACTTCATCCTTTTATTCTTTCTATTATTATGCAATCAAAAAACGAGTCATTTTTATTTTCAAAAAAAAGCTAAGTTACAGAAAATTTCCTCCTTTTCTTTCAATCCATACCAACGCATTTGACTGTTGTTGACTTGCCAGTCGCCTGAAGCAGTCTGCATCTGTTCTCATTCTTACGCATTGTTCTTAAGCTTTTGAGTTTTTGGGATTGGTAGATCTTAGTTAACGTTTTCGGATTGTCATCATCGATGGCAATATTGACAACACCATTCCTAGTGTGTAGTTGAAGCTGTTTTGTTGAAGTTAAAAATCTAAGGTAAGTTTGTTTATCGGTCATCTGATTAATTGTAGCGATGATGTTGCGATCGCTGTCTACAGCTTTAAGTCCAAGCTTAAATTCATATGAAATATTGGGCGAAATATTTTCTTTTTCTGCTCCAATAGCCTACCACCAAAAGCTATGAGGACGTGCATACTAGGATGTGCTGCAAAACGTGTACCTCAGCGAGCAGCAAAGCACCTCTGATTATAGGGCTCAAATTTTTCAGAAATTGGAGCCAATTGCGACAAAACGAATGCGGGACTCTTAATGCATTTGTCTCCTCGAGCATCTTTCATTGTTGAGTTAAAGGTGTCAATGCAAAGAGTACAAAGACGAGGATACCCACCTAAACCCGAGAGCGATGAACGTGAAGAAAGAAGCACTGTCCATGAATTTTAATCCTCAAATCATTTTTTAAAGATATAAGCAAGTTTTCTTGCAGAGGGTAGTATCTATTCCGTTGCAAAGCACAACACTCAAGAACATGCTCGGATTGTGAAAGTAGTTTTTCCACGGATATTCCTCTAAGCAGTTGTCTTTGTTATTGTTCCATTTTCCATTCGGGAAAATGAACTAAGCAGAGCCATGAAACAACCTTGAAGCGAAAAATAAAAGTCATTAATCCGATAAACAAACCGATCACATTTTGCTTGAAGTTAGAGGTGCTGTGTTGTTGACGTCAGAGAATTGCAAGACTAATTGCCCGATGATTGATGTGGAACGATGGTTGTGGGTGTGGGAATGACGACGTTTGCTTGAACTGCTACATCGGACCTTTCATAAATACCGCATTAAGGGTGGAAATCTGAAATCTTCGGCAAAACGATGGTTTTCTACGAACAGGTGGCATTTTTGATCAACAGTTTTTCACATCTTAAACGAATGATCACACATAGCATTTCCGATATCAACACTCAGGATATTATCATTTCAGCGACCACTCCTCAATATATCTTCATATCTCGTCAAGGACAGGTATATGTGGCGTAGTGGTCGGAGGCGCCTGCAATACACATAGGATCAATTCCCGCGCCTATGGCCCACCAAGCCTTCCATCCCTCCAAGGTCGGCAAATTAGTTCCAACCAAATTTGCCTAGAAGAAAGCAGCACTGGCTCAATACATTGGTAGGCCACCGCGAGTCGCTGTAAAAGTCAGATATGCATTCAATCACCTCCAATCGATGCTTAGTGAAATCGAATGCATAGAACGTTCCTTAGGGATTGAACAACGCCGACAACTTTTTAAATCTCCTCAAGGACCTTTTCTTCTTCAAGAGCGCATCTAAATGGTATTCGAGTCGATATTCCTTGACATCACGGAATAGCTCCAGTAAAGAGTTCTCTACTCTTTAACACAGTGGAAGTAGCTGGCCTTTGTTGGTCGCAAAGATCTTTTTCTAGGTAATTTTTGTGGGAGCACAGATTGATGAGAAAGTTGGTTGGCAACGGTGGTGTTAAACTTGAGCTTTGCGCGTATTATTCAATGACTTCTTTACCACTGCGTCACCTGTACCTGGATATCTTGGTAGCACAAAAAACGATTTTTCTCGAACTGTAACCACAATGACGCCAAGATATAAGCAAAACTCGGAGGCTCACGTGGGGTTCGAACCCGAAATCACCCTTACCGGGGTCTCGAGTGCTATCCACCACACCAACCCAAGGTCCTGGTTTTGCCTTTCTACCAGCTAATTTTTTACTCTCCCTGCGCTATTAGCAATAATCCGTCAACGAGAATGGTTTGGGAAGCGCAAGAAATTTGGCATTAAACCTAGTTATTTTGACAGCAGGTTGAGTTTAACTTCGAAGTCCACCTAAGGTTTTGTGGTTTTTCAAATCCCAGCATTCCTACGGTTTTATTTCTCATAGAACCTTGCATGAAGAGAAAATATTCAGTAAGTAAAAGTAAAAACATTGTGATTTCTCTATCTAGATATGGTT